TCATCCAAAATTAAGACATAACCATGACATGACCACCCAAGACACTCTTTGGATTCCTCTCTCTCAGTTCTCCTGTTTTGGTGTTAATGGTGACCAATAACAAATCACTTGCTGCAAGTGACTTTTTTCTATGTTAATACATTCTGTTAAATAATTTTTCTGTATTTGGCATCCTAGAAAAATTGAACAATTAATTTCTATCTTTTTTGTTAATTTATTTCAATTAAGGAATGCCATGACACAGTTGTTGAACAGCTTTAAAGGAGTCATAAAGGAACATGTCAAATTGTAAGCCATGGTGTTTCAGCACTTACTGGGTAGAACTATTCACAGGTTGGGCATTTCCATTCACTGGAAATTATTCAATAAGCTTAGTTCTGAGTTGGAACTTCAAATACTCAAAATTTCCCCTGGAAGGAAAATGAATTTTTTTAATTAAAAAAAAGTAAAGAAAAAGAAATAAAAAAATGCTAACAGAAGAAATGTTTTGGTTTGCAGGGTTTTTCCCTCACCCAAGCAAGAGCAGGAGGTAGGTGAGTCAAGCCCAGGTATGGCCAGGACATTACAGGAACCTCCCTCCCTTGTCACTCTACTGCCGTGGTCAGGCAGCAGCTGAGATCTGCAGGTCCAGGAATGGGCACAGTGGGGCTGGGAGGAGCAGAGCTTTGGGTTATTTAAGATTCATCAAGATGATTCTCAAATAGTTAGGTTTGATTCAATATTTGCAAAAAAATTTTCAGGGGATCAAGCCCCAGGGGTTGCACTGTCAGCTGTAGAAATGCAGCCGTGAAATAATACTGAAAATCCAAATATAAAACCAGATTAAAATCTCTCTATTTGGATGAGCTTCCTGCAAGCTGTCTTAAATCATGGTGATAGCAGGAGACTTGAGATAGTTGATGTAACTAAATCCATGCTCTCACCACAGCAAAGCAATGTGGGTTTGGGTGGGTGGCATGGGAGAGACAAACTTTCTCTCAGGTCCGGAAACTCTGCCTCAGTGTTGTAACATCTAAGAGCCTGAAAGCTTGGTGATGACTCTTGGGGAGTTTTTGTGCAGCTGTTTTTTTCCTCCTCTCTTTTTTTTCAGTTATATTGGTTAGGTTAATGAAATCCTTTCTCTTTGCTTTTAAAGCTTGTAGAAGCATCCTTTTGACAGCTGTTCTCTAATTATTGCCAAGTAGTGTTCTGAAGGTAATAATTCAGTGGGGGAAACTGTAAACTAGACAGTGTATTCTAGTAATAGTCTCTGTTCCTTGTTTTGCTTTTGCCAAAGTACTGCAATTATTTTGATGACTCTTGCACAAAGCATCTACAAAGAGAGACTTTCCAGTTAACCGGTGCTTCCAGTAATCATACTCTTTGCTTAATACATCAGTTTTCCTCTATTTAATTTAGCTCAAACTGCTCAAATGGACTTGGCTAAGTGCATGATGAAATTAAAAGCTTACTGAGAAAGAGGTTTTGTTAAGCTCAGGCACTGCCATTTTTTGGAACTTGGGCAAAATTTACAAATTTAGATCAAGTGTTAGGGGCAGCTTGAAACAGGAGTTAAGCTAATGCTCTAAAATTAGAGCTGCCCCTTCATCTTCTGTGCTGAAAAAAAAAAAAAAAGGAAAAAAACCCCCAAAACCCCCAAACCCAAATAGGTATGTTCTGCATGTTATTAACAAAATGGTGTGTGCAATAGGCAGCCTTTCTTATTGATCTACTGAAATTGCTATCAGCAATTTCTGTCTGTTTTCTCCTCTGAAGCACTAGTACTTAAGGCACTTAGCAATGTCATTGCTGCTTCTTAACTAGTTTTCTTGTAGCAATAGAAACAAAATCCACTGTTTGATTTTTTTTTTTTTTGGTTTGGGTTTTTTGTTGTTTTGTTTTGTGGGTTTTTTTTTTAATGACAAGAAAACACCAAAATTAGCTTGTTTTGCCTCTTGGAGCCTTTCTCCCTCCTGCACTTCAAAACCTCTTAGCCTCACTAGTTTCTTTCCTTCACACAAAATGTCAGTGTGGAAACTTCAAAAATGCCAGCTAGGTACCCTTAAAAGGTGTGAAATTGCTCAGTCCTTCAAATGTCAAAATCAGCTACAAGGAAAGCTATTCATGGTATGGCTATTCAGTTTTAATGTCACACCCTATCATGTTCTGGGAGAACATTAATCTGCAGACACTGACAAGAACAAGATGAATGGGTCTGAACAAAACACGTCTATCTGCTTGTAGATAAGGGGAATAAGAACCAATCAGCAAAGAGTAGGATTTTGGGGAGTTCAGCTAGCCTGGACTAGATGATTCTTGACCGAGGTTATGCTGAACTTCTCAACTTTTCAGGCTTAATGAGGGTTATACATATTAACTTCTATGCCCAGAGTGGACTTAGAGCTAATTTTAATGGTCATACATTATGTGTAACAAGGGGGAACATGCTTGTACCTCCCAAGTACCTCAGGCAATGGGGAAGGGGAGAGGGTGGTATGCAGCTGGGAAGTTGGGATAAAAGTGAGGCTGTATCCCTCATCAAACTGAGAAAGTTTTCATTGGGCATTGCCTTAATGACCTTTCTCCCTTTGCCTGGATAAAGCTAGAAAAATGGTAAACCCAAAAAGGCCCTTCTGTCTCCTTTGTGGACACTAACCTCCAGAGACGTGACTTTTCCTCACAGTACCCTTCAGTACCTTGGCAGGTACTAAGGCAGAACCATTAGCTGACATTTTTTCACAGCTGACTTTCATAGCACTTTTCTTGCATTCAGACTCTGTGACTTGTTCTCCTAGGAGGTAGAAAAGCTGGCAACATACCAGGCAGAGAAAAGGGCATCTGCCTTTCTGTATGTGGGACTTCAAGGACTGTGTTTGAACTTGGTTTGGAGCAAAAACCCTGTTTCCAAATCCTTGGAAACACTGAGTCATTTCGTTTTGTGTGTAATACTAATTCTTTTGTTTATGAGCTGTATGTAAAATAGTATTGATCATCTGTTTACCAAAGTTTAGGTAGGGAAGGAAGATTTATCAGGGCACCTGCTGCTGTGTTTTCTTCTGCTGAGTGGTGCCAAGACAGAGCATTCTTGGTGTAGATTTGTCCAACTTGTAAAAAAAACTCTAGTGAAAGAGTCTCCCAAATGTTCTGTCTCACTGCTGTTTCCTCCTTAACTCAAAAACTCCTCCACAAACTGACCTGAAATGATTTTGCTGCAATTTAAGTTGCCTTCCCCTCTGTCCTCCCCTAATCAGGGAACACGGTGGTTCAGCATCTGGTTTGCACTCTGCTCATGCTGTCCTGAGTTCTGTTCCTGCTCTCTTCTGCTTTGGAGAAAAAAAAAATCAAAGCTGAACCTTTCAGTCATATCTCCTAAATTATGTTTTCTAAATCATTAATCATTGCCATTGGTCTTCTGTAGAGCTGAGAGTGTTGCTCTCTAAGCCAGGCTGCATCATCCCCAAACCAGCAGAACAATTACCTTGTTTATATCTCGGTCCTCTTTCCCCAGCTTCCTGCAGAACTAGTAACTGCTACTTTCTTGGTAACAGCTTGTTGTATAGCTGCTCCTCAGTTTGTGGCTTTCTATGATTTCTGATTTTTTTTAGTAACACTGCTGCCCTATCAGCTACTCCTTACTGCAAAATTGCTTTCTCCTGCCAAAGAGGAATGCTTTTGACAATTTTATTGGATTGTATTTTTGTGTTGCTCTGCCAATTTGGAAAACTGGTGTAATTTTTTATACTCTAATTGTGTTTTTGAACATCCTTGTAATCATTCTTCCTTGGGTATAATCCACAGAGGGTCGTTTTTCAGGTGAGCATTGTTTAAAATGCTGAATAAAGCTGCTAACCTGACACATTCCTGCAGAGCAGCAGTGTTTGCTGTCCTGCTGGGTGGTCAAGTGCTCTTTAAGACTTTTTTTTTTTTCAGATAGCTGCATACCCATCTCAGTGATTAATTTGTATTTCCTTAAGCTGATTAGAAGGATGTTGCCTCATATGTTAGGTCTGTCCTAAAGGGAAACAGGACTTGTTTGGTACAAGCTGTTCTTGATGGTTGGTAAAAACCCAAGGAAGGGATTAAAAACCAAAACTGTTTACTTTGGTCCAGAGTTATTCTGGGGAGAAAAGCTGGGCAAATGGATCAATGATTCCTTGGATGCTTCCTTTCTGAGGACAACATGATGTTTGTCCTGTTTTTTAAATACTTCTCCTGTTTTGTACAGACCTCAAAGAAAACTGCCCACATTTCAGGTTGCATCAAGTGTTTAGATCGTTACATGCTGCCAAGATTAATAAGGACCTGTCCACCTGAAGTCATCCACTTTAGCTGATTGTTCTCCAGCCTGTTTGTCTGAATGTATTTGCTTGGAGTTTGTTCTGATCTTTCCTATCTGGTCTTGAGCCTGCACTTTGTCTTCCTTTAGCCTGCAGGGTATCCAAAGACTGTCTTCCAGTCTGTTTTGTCCCCTGTCAGTCAAGACTTGGTTCAGCCTGTTGCCTTCATGCCCTCAGCCATGTCACGAGCCTCGGTTCAACGCCCCATTCCCAGTGGGGTGAGGGCTGGAGGGCAGAGAAAGGGCAGGGCTTGGGGCAAATGAAAGTCATCAGCTCTCATCGAGATAGTGACCACAAATTACAACAGACAGAACAGGTTCTATTGTTAACTGCCTGGCCAGGCTTTTCCTCTGTCCTCATTTCTCTATCAAATATGGTACAATGGTGGGGCTGAGGGGAGGCAGAGCCCTGCTAGTGTGCTCCTCAACCCATTTCCAACATGCAGCTGTCCCCTGCCCAGAGTGCTCTCAAAGGTGGTTCAGTGTCACTCCTAAATAGTTCACTACCTTCTTCCTGTTTTCCTGCAGAAGTCAGGCAGCACAGTGTTGAAAGCCATGAGAAGCTGCAGTTGGTGGCACATATTTTGACAGAACCTTGGCCATCTCCACATGACTGCGGAGAAGATTCTTGGAAAAGCGAAACAGCTTTCAAGACGCAAAAAGAAAATGGAAAGAAATGATCCAAGATGTTTACATATATTAATTTATTTATATTCTTTACTTTTCAGTGTTGTACTAGTTCTACATCACATTAATTCAAAATCGATCCTTCTTTACATGATCTATGACTTAGCAACTATTATACACTCAAAAGTACCATTAGCTACACACAGTCTGCCTGCCTCTGCAATTAATGCTGGAAACATAAGAAACATGCAAATATAAGGTTTTAGAGTATGGTTCTTTGGTGAAGTACAAATTCTGCAGTTAAGGAATGTGCTTCCATAGTATTTTGCCCTCAGCAGTGACAATACACAGCAGCAAGAAAGGCAATTCCTGTGACATTTTTCAGGAGTAAAGAGTCTGTATCTTGGCTTAACATGGCAAAAGAGGTGCTTTCTTTGCAGGGAGCACCTTTGCTCCAGTGCGACAGTGCTGGCTTGGCAGGGAGGAGGGAGACAGGCAGAGTGGAACTACACAGTAACACTGCAGCACTTCAACTGAACTCAATGGATTAAGTTCAGTGTTACTTAGATGGTGCCTCTGTGGATTGATCCAGAGTAGTAAAATTAAAAGTCTACTACAGGCATTGGATATTCTCCAGCTGCACACAGAAAGCCTGTGCTTCTAACATTGGCACCCCGTTCTGCAAGAGTAAACATCTCTCCTTCACAGCTTTTCAAACAACACTTCTGTAAAATAAAATTATATCCTTTAACACCATTCTGATATTCTTTTAGAGTTAGGAAGTCCTAACATATAGGGTGAAATGATTAATGCTATGTATTACAGGTGTACTAAGCAGTGCAATGCCACAAACAGCCTTTGCTGCATTTCTGTGGAGGTGGCTGGGACAACTCAACAGGGTGGCTCTGTGACAGCGTTAGCCACATCCGTCCTTTTGTACAAGGATAATTACTTTAAATTGCTTTTGGAAATAATGGTTTCATTAAAATTAGACTTCGACCTGAAGTATATCTAAATAAAAAACACTGGCTGACACAGTCAGCATTGGCTCAGTTTGGAACATGAAGTGCTGGTGCGTCTCCAGAGCAACGGTCTCTCAACTTCACATACCCATCAGCAACCCCATTACACAAATAACACTGCAAGCAACACCCTGCTCTTCTAGGGTTGGTATGTTTTCATTTTGCCTTTTGTGGGTACTCTGAAAGGTATGAGTTGACAAACATTGCTCTAGAGCTAATACTAAGGGTCCATACAAAATAGATACATACAATACATAGTCACATTTAATTTTTACTCCTTATTCTCCTTAATACATTTTTAAACTGTAAACTATACTAGAAACAGAATACTTTTTTTCCTTTTCATTTTTTTTTTAATTTGAAGTTGCCTGTGAACTTATATGTAATAAAATCAGTTATGGGTCTCCTTCAAAGTACCATTAACTGAAGATAGGGCACAGACTTGAGGGCAAAGTCCACTGTCCTCAGGGCAGACAAGTAAGCTACTGGTTCACAGAGATAATCCCCAATCACCAAGAGGCTGCAAAAATATGCCTATAAGTTTTCCACAAAAGAATATGTCTGTTCCTATAAATTAACTCTGTGGGCTTTGGTCAATAATGGTACAATTGAACTGGCAAGCCTCCATAATGCAATTATTTCTTAAAGAAATGAATGAGACCAGCATTTCAAATGGACAAGTAGTCAACTGCCAATAAACTCCTGCTTGAGAATAATTTCCAGTTCTGGATGAGAACTGAGGCTGTTTAACATGGGAGGAAAAAGTGCTACTTGATTCTGAACTCAGCAGGAGTCAGCTGCTACCTAGTACACAGGCAAAAAAAGAATTTTACAGAGTCTCTTGCTCCTGTGGAAGCAGCAGCTTCTTGTAGGTGCTGAACTCCTTCATGTACTCAGAATACAGCAATAAGTGGTGTGACAAACTGTGCATACTGCCATGTTTACCACTCCTTAAAGACAGTTTTTCTCTTGCAAAGCTAGAAGCAAGTTCCAGTAAAAAAAAATCTGTTTTAACGAATATCTCATTACTTTTTTATAAATGAATAAAACATGTTAAAAGTGTTTGGGTGCTATACTCACTACCCAACACTATGTACAAAAGCAGACATATAAAAACACAGGAGCTGCCCTTGCTAAGGCAAAAAGAGCAAAGTAGTTTCTTGCATTACGGTACTAAAGGCACCATTGTTTCAAGACTGAAAAATAAAGGCAACAATTGTCCTTGCCAGTTCCATGGATGACCATTACAACTGCCCCAAGAATCACAACTTTATATTTGTGCCTGCTAGTTCTAGAAAAGTGCAATGTGTATAGGGTACGTTCAAGTTACAGAAATTTTATTTCCCTTCTTTTGAACAATATAAATTTGAAAAATAAATTATTAAATTATACTGGATCCAGCACGCCTGGTTCCTCTGTCTTGTAGATTTTGCTCAGAAAGACTTCCACCTTGTCATCACCCAAGTGACAGATGTCCAAAATGCAGACAACATGTTTGCCATCGAGATCCATTGCTGCTTTTACAATTTCATCTAGAAGTTAAGAAAGGGTGTTTTTAAAAGGTATTTACTGTATACTGCATATACAATAAAGAGGTATACTGAATTGATACTGCTTGCCATACAGTAATGTATGTATGTTCAACCTCCTTTCAGTGAAAAATTTTATTAGTAAATTCAATCATTAGAAATGATAGCATCAGAATTAGATATGAAAAAGCTGATTACTTAACCACCAGTGATCTCAGATTTCATAGCGCTATTGAAGGAAAAGTAATGATGTATTTAAATAAAATCAGGTCTGTATATTCTATATAACCATGCAGGAAAACACAATGTTTATCTAGCATTCTGCAATATAACACAGACCAGTAATGCTAATCATATTTGTTCTGATGTGCTAGTAATTAGAAGCATAATCTGAAGTAATTCAATAGCAGGCAAATACTTCAGCACATAGGAACTGTAGGTTGTGTTAAAAGAGTTGTTCAAAGTGTCATCACTTAAATGAACTGACTGATTGACAGTTACTCCATTTTATTTCAAAGCACACACTGACTTCCATCTATACCAGTATAACTGTGCATGAACAAATAACTGCCAACACTATCTAGCTCACTTAGGAGTTTGGGTATTAAAATACTGTCTTCAGAGTATGAGAACAGCTCCAGTAAAAACTGCTTTGAAAGTTCAGTTACATCTATTTACTAAAGGTGGTGACACAGAATTCATGTCTCTCTCCCTGAAGAGGCGAGCAATGTCTGACCTACACCAGAGATTTCTACACAGAATTACCTCTTGCAGTGAAAAATAAAACAAGAAATGATAAATGAATAATGCCAGCAAAAGTCAGTCTCACCTGAAAGAGAAAACACGTCACAAGGCCTTCCATTGCTAGTGGTCTTCTGCTGATGTGCAGAGATGCAGCTCATACAAGACAATAATGTGTCATTTTGAATCTCTTCCAGTTGAAATAAGTGGGGATCTTCAGGACAAAACAGTGGGAGAAATGCAACATCTATTGCTACATCGTGGTTTATTCCTGTTGAAGAAAAATATTTCAGTTAGCAGAAAACTTCATGTTCAGCCCATTAGCAACTTCATGCATGCACCATTTCTTTTTTTTTAAACACACCACTGCACTGATTTTAATTTACATGTTCTTTGACCATTAATTAATAACATCTAAAATATGTTTATATTATACACAAGCACATTCAAACTGATATGAGGTTATAACATACTATGGTTTAAGGGTAACAATGCTGTTAGCTCAGAAAATATTAAACCAACATTAAATATTAAACCTGCAAGGGCAGAGAAATTAACTTTACAACCAGTGTATCTATGCAGTGTGCAGTACAGAGCTGCTTTCATCTTGAATACCAAATTGTCAGTCCCAGGATTCTAATGACTATAAATATTCAAACACCTTCTCTGCAAATCTCCATTAGCAAATAATGGAAACTTCTAAATTATGGGAACTTAACACAAGCAATGTTAAGCAAGGCAATTTCCCTCTCCTTATAATGGAAAGACAAAATCAAACAAATTAATAACCTACAATAATGGTAGCAAACAGACACACATCGACTTGCCTATTTATATTTTAACAAATAAAGATGAATAAACAGACACTTCCTGTTAGCCAGAAGCAGCAGAGGGCAGTTAATGAGTATGGCTAAAATACAGCCCTTCCTTTTTTCACCCTGGGAGGGAGGCACTTTAAGAGCAACACAAGAACCAGCTCAACAAAGCTGAAAAGAAGCATTTATGGTTGTTCTTTTCCCTTAAAGAACACTGACTCATTCCTGATGAACACCTCTCCAGCAGGAAAGTCGGCTGACAAGTGCAATTGAATAATCTACCTGATTATGTCAGAATGGTTGAACTACTGAACAGGACAGGACCTACTTCTAACTGAAATAATCAATAGCTTAAGGGCTACACACATTCTTAAAATGACAAACAGAAGCCTATACACAAAACTGAAATTATATGAAAAGTGATACTAGAAACAAAATATTCAGTAACTTCACTGAAAGGTATTTCTAATGAGAATTACAGCTTTCTAGTAAAAAACTTACCCTAAATGAGGACTCTAACACAAATGTAAAACATCAGCAATTTTTATACTCAGAATCCACCGACTGATTTAGAGGAATCCATTCAGTTTCTGACAAACTTATATACTGCTTTTGATTAACCTTTTCTACAGGACAAGTTACTTACCCAGAACTGTCACTTCATAGTACCCAAGGCCACTAGCACTTTTAAACTCATCAATACTTTTCTCTGCCGTGGTTTCTTTTGGCTGGTGCACTGCTGCATGAAGGTTGTACTGTTGCATAAGTAAGTCTTTGTACACATAATCAAATTTACGTGGGATACTTTCAGGGAAAATTTTGCTGTGATGCAAATATTTCATTAATTTGTCTTTCACTTGTGTCCACAGGTCACTCTGCCAGGAATCACAAGTTCTTCTAGTCTCTTCAGTTTCAGGTATATCACTCATTCCTTCTCGGTCTGTTATAAGCACAGAAAATATTTAGTTGCTTATAGGTTTACATAATTGTATCACTTCTCTGTTAGATGAGAAATAACTTCCATTAGAACATTTCAATTATGAAGACATGGAAGAATGCTGGAAACACAACACAAGGAATTAAACTAGAGTTGGAATGTCAGTAAATGGGTAACCTTAAAGGCCAGGCTTGTAGTAAAAATACTTATTTCACTACATGAAGAGCATCATCATGGCTTGTTTCTGGAGAGCACTCAACTCATTCAATGAACAGCCAGAAACCATAAAAACAGGTTTAAAATGGGTACAAGTGAATCATAGAACTATTTACATAAAGAGATTATCTTACAGCCCAGACTGCAAACTGTTCTTTCTTCTACCAAAAACAGATACCAAGAAACTAACTGCATGAAACATGAGTTTATTTTTCAATTGCAGAGAAAGAAAGAAAAAATTAACACCAAAAAAAAAATCCTTAAATCAAACATTATTCTTATTACTGGCTTGCACATTTCATCCATTTCCTCCTCAAATCTTGTATTAGTCTAAAGTTAATATAACAACTACTTGCAATGTACCTGTGCAGTACTGCAAACTGGCTGATACAGCCTGTCCATTTTTATCTTGCACATCATCTCCATGTTGATATTCATCCAACCTAAAAAAATAAAGTTATAGTGTGTATACATATATATGTATATATTTTTAAAACCTGTTTAACCTCAAACACAATGCAGGCAAAAGTTCAAACCTTGACAGATTTCTAGTGATAAAGGATACAAGCCCGAATGAATGAGCACTAGTACCGGTTTCATATCATGAGAGTTGTAATATAGCGGTTTGACACAATGAGACCTCCTCAGCTCAGGAAATCGGCTTTGCAGAGCTCAGGACGAGCCCCCCAGGATTCCCGGGCTTTGGGAAGCTGATGGGGAACGATTTTACACTCAAAGCCCGGTGTCTGCTGCCCTCTCCCGGGCACCTGCAGGAAATACCACGTTTGACACGGCTCAACATCGCAGGTGACCTGATACTAAAAAAGGGTGCACGGAGTGCTGCTGCACTTTCACCCCATCACCCTGCAGCAGTCAAAAAGAAAGCACGAATGGAGCCATGTCATCACTCCAGAATCCAAAGCGATACTTTCCTGTGGACATACTGCCCTGTTACAAAAACCAGTTCAATGAGGTAAACTAGATTTTGTTATACTTTCTTTTCTTTCTTTAACTGTGATGTTTCGAATTAATGGTAAGAAACTATTCTTTACCAATCTCTAATGAATTACACAAGATATCAGGAAGGCGAAAAATTTATCAGATGCTCTGCAACCAAACATGGTAAAATAAGCTCTTAGGTTCATTTATTCCTGTCTTCTTTGATCCATTCTTCTTATTATAATAATTCAGGATATCTGAACAAACTTAGGAAAAGGACTATCTTGATTATCTTGCATCACAAACAACTGCAACATGGGTAAGACTTCATTAAGTTACCATTAAGATTCCAGACTGCCAAACTAGTTACTAATGAAAGATTGTAACTGCAAATACACAGGGACAATATAGAGACAGTAAAAAAGGAATCAAAGATGAACATGCCATTTATTGGCACAGTCTGTATTTCATAAAGATTTACAGGGTTTATTTCAATTTATCTTATTTCATACTAGAATGTCTCTTGAAAACTTCATGTCAATGTTTCTTAACATACAGAATTATCTAAATATCTAGTGAAAAGATAAAAGGAAATACACTGTGGGGTTTGAGTATGAAAGTACATTTTATGAAATGCACTATCATCATGGATATCATCACTGAAGTGACCTTCTTGTGATCTCCAACTCTAGACACAGAATAATTCTCACTTAAGCAGCACAAATTATGCAATTACTGCCCACAAAATTAATTTTTACTTTTGAGATTTGGACTTCTCAAAAACAGACATGAAACCCCAGCACAGTGTTAGGAAAGGCTTGCTCAGAAACCAGTATGTCAAGTCAGACATGTGCCAACTTCCCTCTTCATTACAGCAGAGAATTAAACCAAGTCATACTGCTGATGGGTGGATATTATGGAAATGGTTTTTTCCTTTTAGTATTGTCTAGTTTGGGAAGTGGACAGGCTCTGATTTAGAGCTAGTAAAGTCTCTGAAAATAACTTGTCATTATTTTTTCCCACTTCTTTCTCAGATCTGTAGCTGGGATGATTTCTCCCACCTGCCTGACATGTCACTCCTACGGGACTGCTTTGTGTCGGATGAGAGTACAACCCAACTTGAGCCAGGTTTGTAAGGGAAACCTACAGGTCTATACACACAGTTTATTTGCTTATTTGCCAGCCAGTACATCTGCAAGGCACCTGATATAACCCAAATCCTTCCATTTACTGCAATATGCTCTGGCTGTTGTACACCCACATCCTATTTTGCCCACACCAGCTTTAGGAGAACTTGTGCCATGCCACATTTGCTGTTCCCAGCCTGCATTCTGCAGGCCCACCTTTTCACAGATGCCCACTTGCAAAAAAAAGACCATTATATAGTATTTCTAGACACTGGTATTCACCTTTTCAGCCATTATACTTTGAAGCATTGTCAATGAAAATAATGTCAATCAAAAGAGATGGCAGATCAATACTTATAGAAAATATTGGGAAAATAAGCAAGTCTCATGCTTCACACATATTTCCTTAAGCACTGGGACTGTGATAAAATTAAGAAAGAAAATAGTTGGATCTTGAAGTTATGCTCAAACAATGCAAGGAACTGAAGTGATTCAAAAAAACAAAACATCTCACTCACTGATATGACAGGTAAAACTTGTTTTATAGACTAGTTTGAAGTCAACTTAACTGTCCTGCCACCATTATGGTAAACACATCTATCACAGCAAGTAACAGAGAAACCAAACAGCCTTCTATGATAACTTGACAAGTCTACACAAACTGATTATTGGTACCTACCAATTTTGCCCTGAAAAATTCTAATTTATGTGAAAAAAGGCTCCAAAGGAACCATCACATTCTAGGAAACTTTCAGTCATGCAAACTTCAAGTTGAATTTCCCCATATTACAGAATTTCCATCCCTTAGCTCTCATCAGAGGGGAAGAAAAAGGACAAAAGGGTTTAGGTTATATAAACATTTAGAAGTGAAACTGCAAGGATAGAATCAATCAAACAAATTACTTTCAAGCACTGTGGAGTGGGAGCAGGCAGTGCACCAGCAACTCCACAGTAACATGCTAAACTTACAAACATTAAAATGCTATGAAAACTACTGTGTTTTTTTTTCACTTCCACATAAAAATAAGCCTTTCTGAAATTCCCAATGTTTTCCCATTCACAATCACTTCATTCACTATAAATTAAACTACTTTTGGGTATATTAAATGCTTAAAAGTACCTTTATGTGGAAGATCTTTACTAGCAAGGCTATAAATATCAGCAAAACTATTAAATTAACCGGTTTCCTTATTCTTTCTGAAACCCTTAATAATCAGGTAAGTTACCAAAGAAATGCAGGAACTGAGGCTGTCAATAAAAAAACCTCAAAATAAGTTTTTACTGCTTAAAAAAGAAATTAAAAATGCAACCACATGCTGAGAACAAAACAGAAAAAACCTTGATGCTAAATAGTCTAAGCTAGTCTAAGTTAGAATATGTACTTCAAAATGTATCTCTACTGTTGGACTTGATGATCCTTGTGGGTCCCTCCCAACTCAGAATATTCTGTGCAATGTGTGAAGTTTATTAAAACTAGTGCTGTTATTTCATTAACATATGAAAATATTTCAGTGAGAGCTTACATTCTGCTGCATCTGAGCAACAGAACAGAAAACAATGCAATTTTAAGGTAAGTCAGCTAACTTTCTATTTTTCTTTTGCAATTTGGAGAATTCAGCACAACTTCATAGTTAGTTACAGAAATACACAAGTTACCTTTTAATTATATAGAGTGAAACAGCTTTCCATAATCCAACACAGACTTTCTCCTCCTTTAGCTGGGGTTCTAGCATTAATGGCACAGAGAGGACACACAGGTAGCAAGGAGAGTAGCAGATTGAGAAAAGCAGAGAACAAAGTAAACATGCCTTAACTTTCTGCTTCACCTACAAGAAATGGGGAGAAAACATTCTTCCCACCCTCCGCCCCCAAGAAAAATGGGAACATTCCTCAGCAAGCAAAAGAAAACAGGATTCTTCATGGTCAAGAAAAACCTCCTGATTTTCCTATGGATTTGTGCCACAAGTCCCTGCAAACTCCTGCACCACCTGCAGAGATGGGATCCTAAAGCCAGGTGATGCTTTTAAATGAACCAGCTTCAAAGACAGGCAACCATTTCCCCTACAAAATGCAGTTTCTACCAAGAGGAGCAGGACACAACAGACACATGGGCTCAAAAGAGAGTAATTTACTCCACAGAGAAACTCTTGCAAATTAGTTCCCAAGGAAAGGGGCATGCTTTGTAGGGGGGGTAATACTGGCAGAATGGTCAACAACTTTTGATCAGCTCTCTCATTAGCATTGTTGCTCTATCCCTGGCACCATGATTCTTTTGTTTTAGGGGGAAGGAAGAGATGCTAAAAAGTAAACTAAAAAGGCAACTGAGCTGTAAACGTACTCATGACACACACCCAAATCACCACTGCCAAAAGACATAAACATCTTAAGTGACTGACACCAAAGTGTTCAAACACTCAAGTGGCCCACACTGTGTTTGGAACAAATTACAAGAATTTATGACTCTTAAACAAAACGCACAAAGAAAAGTTACTTTTTACCCCAGACTAGCAAAAAATAAAAACACTCATTCAGTTTTCTTAATAATTTTACATTTGTGGTTATTTCAATAGGTTCTAGACTTGTCAGGGCTTGGATCTGAAATTCCTACCTGGATTTCAAAAAACCCCACGTTCTCTGGATCCAAACTGAGTTCAGTAACAACTGAGTGTTGGGGAATGGAAGGAACTAAGTGGCTTCTCAGGGACTATACTTACCCCTCTGCAGCAGCAAGGATAATGTAAGGCTCAGCCACCACTAGCAAATCCATTAATGCTACTACATTTTCGCTGTTTGCTAATTAAGCATCCCTCCCTCCTACCTCTAACTTCCCCACTTAAACTGTAATACCTCTGAAACAAAAACTACATATAGTACACTATGATGGACCTCTGTAACTATATATTCCCTTAGTAGCACTAGTAGCAATATAAAAAGATGTTTAATGACACACTCAAAATTATGTTTCACAATAGTCCAATATATTTGAAGTAGAATCAGTGCAGAGGAGTGAAGAGAAAATTAATATTAAACTCTACCCTGATCTGTTCTTTCATTTCACTTCCACACTGATTCCTGACCTGTAAAATTTTCACTTCAAGTATCTTTGTTTCAATATTGCAATTATTCAACATAATTAACTTCACATGACTTACCTAAATTTTCTTCTTGCAGACCGTGTAAAATAGGGGCAAGATGATACAGGAATAACAGATGTACTTCCCCTTAAAGTAGGAAATTTACCATTATTTTACAGTATTTATTTAAATGGAAATACACAAAGTAAGGAACATTCAAGTTTTCCTTTCAGGCAGAACTAAACTAAGACACTCAAATGCTGTAATTTTTCATACAGAACAGAATCCACTAACAAGTTTGCTGTAACACTGCCAAGATGGAACTTCTATTCACTAGGGTTTTCTTAATCCTAAATTTTGATTCAATCCCAACTATTTCATCTCATTTTTCCTCAACGTATTCTGAATACCCAACCTCTTCACACATTATGACTTACGGATGTGAAAAGCCAAGAATAAAAATACACCCTTTACAGCATGAGAAATCCACTGCAGAAAAAACAGATGTGCCTGGCCTGACTCTTGCACCATTCCATCTGTCAATATAACACCAGGCTTTCAATAGGAAGCATGGGTGCACTAGATTTTACACAAACATTGCAACAAAGGGCAATCTTATGCAAGCAGTTATTTTACTCTTGAATCTGATATAGTTGTATCAGACAAATTGTCTCATTCCATTTCCTTACACTGGACTGATATCCTTTGTCTATGTCTGACTAGATGGGATACAACTGGATGAAATCCCAGCAGAAGCAGAGCCATAGTACTACAAATTATTTTGAGCCTTTAGGTTAGCACATGATCAGCATCTACTTGCCTTTCTTACAGCAAGTTACAGCTACATCCTATTACCCACAATGAAAAAATAAGGTATGTTTGAAATTCTGCATTCTTAGTGAAGAAATCTTATTTCCTCACACCACTAACTGCTGTTTGTTCCACGGCTATGTTACTAAACTACATATGGTTCAAGTATTAACAACTTTTATTTCAAATCTGTGACCTTAACAACAAAGTAGCATAATATTAATCAGAAGAAAGCACTGCAAACCTGCTTTAATCAATCCCTCATTAGCATTAATAGTATAATTGTCATCACTCGATGCCAGTAAAAGTTTGTAGCAATTTTAAATATTAAACTATGTATGCTTTTAAAGCTTTCTTATATAATTGCTGTGGCCTGGGCTCTGAACTAATTTCTGTAAAGACTTTTTAGAAGATCCACTACGTATGTATGGAGAGAGCTTACTGTTCTGCATCTCTATTTAATCTGCGTATCTTTCTCTTGACTGAACTCTCCTTTGACAGCAGAGCCTGGTGCTGATGTTGTTCCCCAGGAGAGCCATGTGGACCCAGAAAAGACTTAACTTCTTCATTTTGAAGGCTGGTATTTTTTCCCCTGTCAACACAGTCTTCTTTGGAAACAGCAGAACTTTCAGGAGACTGAGAAGTGTCTTTCTGCAACAACAGTTAATTGTTTAAGATTTTCAGTGCACTTAAAGCTATTGCTCACAACTCAAAAATCTGCAAGTTTCAAAGTAACTTTCAAAGGAACAGAACAATTTACCCTACTTTCTGAAAGTCATCTTTTATCTAGCAAAAATTATCTTCAAATCATATTAATAAGGTAAATTCTGTCTTGGAAGTGACAGTGAGAGTGTTGCAGTAGTTGCTACTTTACAATAGGTTATCCAGTCAAACTAGCAATGTCTAAACAGTTACAAGTTTTACAAAGGACTGCCAGAATACTTTCAGAAAAGCACCAAATCATTGCTTTTTAAAATTTTGCTCTCAAAAAGCAAATTAAGTTAATCAAGAGGTAATGTAATTAAGTTCTGAACTCAAAAGCAAAATTCTCCATTCTAATTACAATCCCAGCTGCTCAAGTGCTAAAGTATTAACTCTCACACACTGTACCTGACCAAGTTCCACTCCTGAAACTTCTTCAGCTGTGTTGCTACAGCTGATGTATCTTATGGCACTAATTATTCCCTGAACAGCAATGCGCTTGTGTTCTCTGTAGTGCAAGTCTTCAATCTCTTTCCCTGTTTCACTTATGGTCTTCAAAACTGATTCAACTGCAAAAAAGAAATTTCCACAAACAAATTGTAAAGAAACAGAATACCAAAATCTCCGAATGCAAGCTAAAAAAAAAATTAATTTGTTAATAAATATTAAATTGATTTAAACTTATGTTTTTGAAGAATTTCAAATCTTTTTGTTGTCCACATCACAGGGGAAAAAATTTAAACAATCAACCTTTTTAGCTCACGTGAATCCCTTAGTATGCATTATCAGATATCACAATTCATGTTTCAGGTGAAGTTTCTAATTCACTGTTTCATCCAGAATAACTATTTTTAATACTGAGTTAACAGCATATTCAGAGTAAAACTTCTGGGCATATCTGTAGCTCATGTAAACTTCTACAGTTCTCCTGAGCTAATAGTGCTGTGGTACTTTTTGTAAGATGAGGATTTAACCAGTGAAACATTTAGTCATGTAAGGGAGTTTTTCCTGGAGTGAGACCGAACTAAAAAAGGCCACAAATTTTACAGATATTTGATGCATGATACCTTTATTACTTTTACAATAATCTGAAAAGTTATCTGGAGGTCGTGGAAAAGGGTAATAGCCACCAATGACAGTTTTCTTTATTTGATCATCTTCACTTTGTGATTTCATCCATTGAATGAAGTTTTTCACTTTGGTGTCCTTAGTGTATGGCTGACCCTTGTGCCACCCTTTTAAAAGAAAAATAATCAGGTATCAAAACCAAAGCAGGTTACTGTTATCTGTTCTTATCTTGAAACTTCCCTGAACACTACACAGGAAAAACAAATAAGGAAAATCTTGACTAGAGAGTACAAAAGATGTCTTTGCACTAGTCAACAGTATTTTATCAAAACGAGCATCCTGAATTCCTTAACTACACTTGCATTTGACACTGAAAGTCAAACAAATATGAAGTAACTGAAGGAAATAAAACAACTAGCAAAAAATCTACTAGAATACTTTCTCACAGGAGCACACAAAACAATAAAATGATCAGAAATTGGTTTTTTAGCAGGAAAGAGCAGGTAGGTCTTCTCTATAGGGTTCAGCAAAGACTGTTACTGACAGGTAACTGGCAAAGTATGTATTCATTGTTGGCTGGTTTAAAAAGTAAGGTACAGATTAAATACCAGGTTTATAAAGTAAATTGTAATCTGGGCAGGGCTTCATCCAGCCTGTTAATTAAAATAGACCTTATGCAGTGGTTTGCTATCTCCAGCTGTAGTCCTCATTTAGGACCCATACAGATATAAGATGAACTACAGCTAGAGTGGGGGAAAGCTTAAGTATTTAATCGGAAATTAAGCCCAAATTATACTGAAGGAAAGTAAAGGAAAAAAACCAATTTCTCAAACCCTTTATTTTGGACTAAATTAAATCATTAGAAATCTATGAACAAAACAACTAGTTTACTTTGCTAGTCCAATTAAGCACACAACGCCCTACCCAGCCTGTCAGAAAAGACTGTGTGTGCAGAACTGGGTATGATCAGGTACTGTTTTTTGCACATATTTTTCTCTATTCCTACTTGCCAGCAGAAGGATTCAGGCTGGGTGACTGATATGTTAGGAACACTGAAGAAATGAGCTGGATTAACAAAACCAGGAAAGATACTCCTACTGCACCTTACAGTGCCTTGCAATTTGGTCAGTACATCACTCGCCTGCAACACTGCAAAAATCTGCCTCTGGATTCAAGAGCAAAGACACAATTTAAGACACCTATACCCTTTTTTTTTTTACTTAAAAAATACCCTTTCCAAAGAAATAAGATGAGAACTACATAGTACCCCAGCAGAACTCATTTAAGTTACCTGTAATGAATATCTGACTTTCATTTGAAGTCGTGAGGTAAGTTGTGCTGGAAGGATTCCCAGTGAGGTCCCGGACTACTCTCATCTGTGTGCACACCAAGTATGTCACTGGAGGAAAGAAACACCTTCATTCTTTTCCCAATAGTTCATTGATTTTAGAATGTCAAGACTGACACACACTGTATTAATTTTATTAAGTGGTCTAAACAAGACAATTTAGTTTTTGATCCTACAAATGCTTCAGCATGTTTTGAGTCTCCATTATAAATTATAATATGGAGATGTAATTAAATATTCAATTTAATTTCAGCATACATATTAGGACTAAAAATAAGACATTTCATCAGGTAGGATATCAAAGAAACAAATAGTGTTAGATGGCTCTGTTTCTTACGGATAAAAAGCATAAAATCACCGGAAATCATGACATGTCACTGCAAAACTTCTAAATAGAGTACAAACTCACTCTTTTGTTAATATCTCAGTTAAACACTGGAATGTCATTCTTTGCCATTCCCCCAGAACACTCAAGATGAATGCAGCCATAATCTTAACAGGGTTGTGCAGCTGGTCCTGCATCATATGATATAAAAAATGCACATGACAGCAACCAACCAGTGTTAAAGGAAGAATGAGTGCTTGGAGGAGAAGAGAAAGAAGGCAAGAAAGAAAATGTAAAGCTCTTTTAAAATCCTTAATTAAGGATTCCCCAGTTTGAAATCTATTATTCTCAGCTCACATGCAATAAATAGCACAGCTGGGTGTTGACTATTTGGACAAAAATATTGACTCAAAGAAATTAAGGTTTTCCACTTTCACCTCTCCCTTCATTCAATCCTTTAAAATAATTCCTGTCTATAAAAAACCCAGATATTTATAGGACAAAAGGAATAATAGACTTGATCAGCTGCTGTCTTTCATTGCCTCTGATGTAGGAGATGTTGCCCCAGGTGCTTCACTTAAATTTCTGTCTGAAATTAATGAGACCAGGTGAACCTCACCTATCCATCTAATTGTTCACACTAACTGACACTGCACTATGATAAGGGTTTCAAATATTAAACCATTTTTTAAGTTTTACCTGTTATTTATCTGCTTAAGGAGATAAACCTCAAACAGAGGCATTTTTTTATTCAGTGGCAATTATGCTCAGAATTTGGAATTAGCAATGAATTAGAAAAACACTATAAGTAATTATTAGTAAGTATTATAGAGAGATGAATACTTGGGTGAATACGCTCAAACACATCTGGCTGAGAAGTTGCAAACAATTCCAGTATGAATGGTTGGTCTGAGGTGCCATCAATGGCATGAGCCCAACGATAGAGCCAGAAGTCTTCACAGTGTTCTGTATAAACAAATATTAAGAAAAATGCATAAGCATTTATTCAGAAATACAAAAATAATTTGATAAATTATGAAAATCATATTTTATAGAAAAACCTCTTTTTCTGGCTCGTTCAGCCCTTCCTACAAATGTCACAAGACCAATGACATCACAGGAATAATTGTGTGGTAAGTCATCCAGTTCTGACCTAAAACCAAAACAGAAGAAATATGTGGGTAAGCTTTCTCAGAAACTTTGCAAAAAAACATTTCCAATTAACATTCACTGTAATGCAGTGTAATTTAAGTTCCAGCTTGATAACCAACAAAATTCTGTTTTACCTTGTGATAAACCGATATTTAACTTCAGGTAATCCCCATTCTGGCTTAACCATTTCTTCTGGAATAATGCTTATTTTAGTAGGAGGATTTCGATCATTAAGGCTAATTTCTGACAAAGGAAAAAAAGGTAACATTTAAGGCATGAATACAAATCAGCATCATCATCAATAACAACAACAGGTGCTACAGAATAGACACAAGACCTTCTGTTTTCCTTCATGGCCATGGTGTATTTATAACATGTTAATAATTACTTTAACTGGTATCAGGTATGGAAGGCCTCATCTGCTAGTTCTGTTTTAGTTAATTGTCTGCACATCGATTTTAGACCTTACTGGCATTTGGCAATAAGAGCTAGTGTAGAAAGTACTTTGTATCTAATCAGTACTGTGGTATTAACTGCTGTTAAAATATCTGGCAGGATTGGACTTGTTAGCTCATGTAGGGAATTGGAAAGTTTAAATTACTCAGATTATAAAATTGCTTTGTTGAATTCTGTACCCAAATTCCTTGTTTTATTTTGATGAAAACGTAAAGTCACAGGAATTGATTAATAATTTAACAAACAATGAGATAAAGTTGGAATCCTTAAGAAACTTTATCCTGGTTTCTTTATGGGTTGGTTTTTATTATTATTGTTGTTGTTGTTCTTGTTATGAGACCCATAGAGTGGCTGGCACCTGGTGTTTTCTAGATGGTGAAGCCATTCTCTCTGTATTATTTATTCTGGTTGCTTGGGTTTGGGTAAGGGATTATTCAAATAATGTACCCAGAAAAGTAATTAAATAAGTATAAATAATGTATACAGTTGTTTATAAAGCTGTATCTGGCCCCTCACCCTAGCAGAGCAAAATTAGGAAGGTGCTATACTTGAAGTCAGCCCCTCTACTTAGGAATATTCTTTTGGCTGCTGCTTTATAGAAATATATTTGGAGGACAATTGTGGATTTGAATATGTTGTTTTAAGACAATACCTCAGAGAAAATACTGCAACCCAAAACTTTCTCATGCACCGCTTATCAATTGTTTCCTAATTCTGAGATTAGATGAAAGTCATATACTCAACACAGGACTACACCCTGGGATGAGTCAGGAGATAAGATCAGGCTTTTGTCAGTGCCACACAAATGCAGTGATGTGTGAAATGTAAACATTGCCTGGCAGAGGAATTCAAGGTGGTGGTACCAACTATTTAAGCTCCAAAAGTTTTAGGTCCTGAAACAGCACCTCTCTGCATGTCACACAATGCTGCAGCTGCAAACAGAGGCACACAGTGCAGAACTCACTCCAGAGCAGGGGAGGGACTGCAGCAGCACACTGCCTTGCAAGCACTCTTAGTGTGGAAAGCCCTTTCCCTTGTGGACTTGTTAACTCTCCAGGTACATTGCACAATGTTTACAGGTGAATGGTCGTTAGGAAACACTGGATAGTTGGGATTTGATGAAATGATAAATTGAAAATAAATTTTGAAAAAGGTAACAAGAAAACTTAAGCAATTCAGTGTAACTGAAACCTGAAATATTGCCCCATATCTCTGCCCCATACAGAGATTACTTAGTGAGGTATTAAGTTTCACTTGATCTGAACACAAACTGTCATCACCTTCCCTGACAAACTTCCATTCTTGGCTAAACGTTTCTCTCTCCTGCCAACTCATCACAAGTTCTTCAAACATTAAGATCTTGTTTTAATGCAAATATACATCAGGCAGAGAATACACTGCATCTAGCAGTGAAAATATTGTTTATTTTTGTGCACTGTAGCAAGTGCATTAGGAAACTGTCATGGTTAATAGGTTATACATACATCATCCTTCACTAACATGCATATTCGCTTGGTTCAAGGAAGTTATCTGAATTTTCTGAGTGCTGGCTGTTATTTTGTTCTGAGTATAAAAGCACAAAAAGGGAAGGAATTCATGTTCAGTGAAGTAGGAGAGAAAAAGCCCCAAAGTTGACCAAATCCAGTTTGAAGAGGCCATTACTGTTATGTTGCAGTACTTGTATTTCTGTAGTGTAGCTCCTTTGAGTATCTGCCACACTAAACAACTGCAAGTAAGAAAATGCTTTTTCATAGCCAAGGAACATTCTTCATACACACACTCCCATGGTGATGCTCTTTCAGCACACAGCAGTCATCAATGCAACTTTTTATTCAGTGGAGCTATGCAGTTGCTCTAGGCCTTGGGAATACACACTAAAATCTAAAGTCAGATCAGGTGACAGTGTGCTTCAATGGCCTGGAAAAAGGTGTGAGCAGTGCACAAATAATATGTGTATTATTAATCAGGAAGCAGAATCAGATTAAAATTCAGCACCAGAGACTTGTGTTTATAATGCCACTTGCTGATATCAGAGACTTTTATTTATTTTTAAAATAAATGTTTTAACTAATTGTGGCAATAAACTTTGTAGACGTGATCCAAATATAAACAGGGAACAATAAGAACCTGGATGTTAACACACCTTTCAGAGGTGCAATTATACCTTATCCATTAGTCTCAGCAATTGAAAATTTTCTATTTTATCTCTATGAAGAACTACCTTTCCACAGCCAAAATAGGTTTCTGTAATACTTAACCAATTGTAGCAAATCTCTTCATCTGTGAATCCCCAGGTGTTGGCTGTGTTTTAAACGGGTAACTGTCTTTGATTGCATACTGTTCAAGGAGAAGGACTGTGCCAACCTTCATGCTGTTATACCACTCAGGACACAGTGAACTCCACAAAACCATTGATGTCATGCCTGAACCATCAGCAACTTCAAAATAAGCCTAGGGGAAAAAAAAAAAAAGAGATAATATTTATTCATTTTTTATTTATCATCATCCTGGTATGTGTTTATTTTGGGTAATGAACCAGCTACTTGACTCGTGAACAATTTCTCTGATGATTACAATGGATACAGAGCATGTTCCAGAACTTGCATTGAATACTAGAGTGGAAAAAATCCCCACTTTCCACAAAGAATTCTTCCACAGTTACCTCAGCCCAAACTGTTCCCCTCCCAGTGCTCAGTAATGGCAGGATGACACCAGTTTCACTCCATGGCTTTTAGAGGAGGTCGGGGAAATCCCAACCACAAGAAACAGTACAGAAAAGATTCTTCTTTATCGGAGAGAATGCTGCATTTAGAGTAACATTTCTAAATATCCATGAAGGAAAAATGTATTTTGGAAGCCGAGAAGTTACAGGGACATTCACTAAACGTTCCTGATCAAAAAACTATAAAAGTCTGACTTCCCAACAAAAAAAATAATGCAGAGAACAATGCACTTTGAAAACCACTATGTTATCGTTGCAGTTTTTCTCACTACAAAGTTTGCTACATTTTTTTTTCCAAACTGGGCAAACACTGAATCCATAACTGAGTAGATCACTGAGCAGTAAAAAAGATTTTTAAACAGTCTTAGAATGATCTTACAACATAGCAATCCACTGAAAAGAAAACCTCAACTAAAATATATTAGGAAAGTAATGAAGGATTTTACAATAAGATAATCTATTTGGAAGTTACCTAAAAGTTGCTAATATGTATTGGCTTTTTTTTTTTTTGACAAGACACTCCAACTTCTAAAGCATAAAGAACAGAAACATTAAGGCTAGTCAACTACTAAAACCTCCAAATATCTGTATTTCTTCACAAAAAGCTCAACTGAACTATACTAACTGAAACACATCCACCAGTTTGTACATATGACCACTAAGTGCAGCATTTCCTACTCTAAAGGGCTCAGCATTTTTTCAAGGCAGCAAATTTTTCATATTTTTCAATATAAAATAGCTACAACATAAATCTTAACTTTATGAGCTTGTTACATGGGAAAAATTATTTTCAAATATCCTACACCTATTTGTTTGAGTGTTAACCTACGTATTTATGCCTCTTTACCTGATAAGGCATATCCATTGCTTTCTCTGGTTTTCCGTAGTACCTTAGTCTGGATTTGTGCAGGATTCTCACAAGGAGTGGATGGAAGCGCACTCTGCTTCTCCATGTCATTTCCAGATGTCCAAGATTAGTCAGCTTGGACACTAAGGTCGAGGAGGGGGAGGAGAAGTGGGGGAAAAGATCAGAAAAGAGTATTCATGATTGAACATTCAAGTTTTCAGGAGTAAAGTTTTCAGACCAGGATGTCACATGTATTTTCATAATGTTTCTAACATCAAAAAAGGCTCATTTGTTGATGCCATTCACCATTAACTCCTGTTATGAGCTATCTGCACACAGCATAGTTTTCCTTTGTATTTTTAATTGAAAGAGAGTGATGACATATTTAAAATGACACAGAAGGGTTGTCACAGGACCAGAAGAGCTACTACAAAAAACAGGCATTAGCCAACGCAGGCACCACACACTTGTGCAGAAGTCCTGCTTGTACCTCCCTCCTCACCAGGCTTCATGGAATGGCCCAAGCCCCTCAATACTAAGCACATTTTGGGTGCCAGCTGCTGGATCTGAGCACCCTGTCCCACAGACCAGACATGAGACTACTACTACTGGACTGGTTGGTTTTGACACCTCAGAAGACTGGGCACAAGCACCACAGCTACTGTTTCATAGAGTTTAAAAAAAACCCTCTCAAAGCAACCGAGAGTCACAGAATGGGTTAGGTTGGAAGGTATCATCTCCCAACCATGGGCTGGGACACATTCCACTAGACCAGGTTGCTCCAGGTCCAGTCCAACCTGGTTTTGAACGCTCCCAGGGATGGGGTATCCACAACTTGGCAACTCTGGGAAACTTGTGCCAGTGCCCCACCACCCTCACAGGGAAGTTTTTCCCCGCTACCGAATGTTATATGAGCAAGTGAACTGTGATACAGGTGGCACAGTTTGCCAGGGATCTTGGCCCTGCTGCACAAGCCATCACAGAATCAATTAGGGGGGAAAAGACCTCTCGGATCATTGAGTCCAACCTACGACCCAAAACCACCATGTCAACTAGATCACGGAGTGCCACGTCCAGTCTTTCCTTAAACACCTCCAGGGACGGTGACCCCGCCACCTCCCTGGGCAGCCCACTCCAATGTCTCATCACCCTTACTGTGAACAAGTTTTCCCTGACGTCCGACCTGAACCTCCCCTTAAGACTATGTTCCTTTGCCCTATTGTCTGGGACAAGAGCCCGATTCCTTCCTGGCTACAGCCTCCTGTCACTAAGGTCTCCCCTGAGCCTCCTCTTCTCCAGGCTGAACAACCCCAGCTCCTCAAAGCACTTGTGCTCCGGACCCCTCCCCAGCTCCGCTGCCCATCGCAAACCACCGCGCCGCCTCCTCACTGTGGGTTCCCCAGGAGAGGGCACCTCTCGCCTTCTCCCCTCTTACCGTCCACATCCACCTGCGCCGGGGGTCTGTCGGGCATCCACACGTCTCCGTAGGGATCCTCGTTGTTCCAGAGCGGCAGGTAGTGCCTGTTCTCGCCGCGGAGGGGCTGGAGCGGTCGGGTGCGGTCGGGCGGGGTGCCCGCGGTGGCGGCGGTGTCTCCCGGCCCCCCCGCCCGCTCCAGCCCCTCCAGGCAGAGGAACCCGCGGTTCAGCCGCTTCTCGTCGTAGCGGTACGAGCAGCGCGTGAGGCGCAGGCGCGCGCCCGCCCGCAGGCGCGCGCGCTGCACGAGCCCGTTGAGGCGCGGCGCGAGGTGGCAGCGCTGCCGGCGCGCGCCGTCCGCGAGCGTCACGTCGTACCAGTACTGAGGGGCCGGGGGGGAGGCCGGGGGCGGAGGGGCCTGCGCCAGGTACCGCTCCACCGCCACCACCGTCACCGCCGGCGGCTCCGCGGGCGCCACGCTCAGCTGCGAGGAGCCCCGCACCTCCTCGAACACCTTCTGCAGCCAGGAGGCCCCGCCGCCGCCGCCGCCCTCCGCCGCCGCCCGGCTCTCCTCGGCGCGCTCCGGGGTAGGGTCCTGCATGACAGCGTCCTGGGGGCCGCTGCAAGGCGAGAGCCGCGGCCCGGGGCGCTGCCGGGGCGGCGGCGGGGGGCGGCAGAGACGGCGGCGGCCGCGGCGGCGGGTTCCTGCTGTCATAGGCCGAGCCGGGGCGCCGCCGCCATGGCGCGCGGGGCGGGGCCGCTGTGCGCGCGCGCCCTTCAAACCGCCAACGGCCGCCAGCGGCGGGGGCGGGGCCCGGGCTGGGGAGGGGGAGCGGGACGGGAGCGACACCGGGACGGGAATGGGAACGGGAACGGGAATAGGAATAGGAATAGGAACAGGAGCAGGAGCAGGAGCAGGAGAGGGAGAGCGGCTGCGCTCGGGTGCAGGGACGAAGTGGAGGCCCGGGGAAGCGGTCGGTGATGAGCGGCCGGGTAGCGGCGGAAGAAGGGCGTGAGGGGGTTCCCGGTACCCGGCGGGCGTTTCTCCGGTGGCCTGGGGGCCGCGGCTGCTCCGGTGCTGGCCCGCTGCCCGCCCTGGTGTGTGCCTTGTGGCGGTGCCCGGGAGCTCGGGGGTGCCGGGGACCCCCCGCTCCCCGTTGGTAGGGCAGGGGTGCCGGGCCCGGCGTCCTCCTGGGCAGCGCCTTGGTCCCGGCCTCCCTTAGGGACTTTCTGCTGCACCTGTTCCCGATTCCGTTTAAGTGGATGCACGATGCTCGTCATAGCTTCTACCTCTCCGTCCGAGCGTATTATTAGTTGGAACGGAAGAGTCTCGTGCTAGCTCCTGAGACTGTGTTTACCTTTTACATAGTTACAGTGTCTGGGTAATCGTCATCAGCCTGCCATTAGAACACTGTTGAGTCTTTTTTCTTTGTTGTTTCCATCTCTAGAAGAAATTCTTAGCAGTGGACCCTAAGCCTGTGACCTTACTTATATAATAATTGATTCTTGTCCCACTGCAACTATCAAGATCATCCTATTCTTTATTGTACTATAAAATCACAGAATGGTTTGGGTTGGAAGGCACTTTAAAGACCATCTAGTTCTAACCACCTTGCCATGGGCAGGGACACCTTCCACTAGGCCACTTATGATATTAATGAAGCTTCTGGAAATTAAGAACTTTGTATTCAATACTTTATTAGCACTTGCTAATACATATATTATATGTATTTTTTTCTATTGGAAGACACATCTCTTGTATGAGGAAAGGCAGGGAGCTGGGCATGTTCAGCCCAGAGAAGAGAGGACTGAGAGGGGACTCTATCAATGCACACAAATACCTGAAGGACAGGTGTCAGAAGTATGGGAGCAGCCTCTTTTCAGTGGTGCCATCTGAATAGGAGGAAAAAATTTCCTTACTTTGAGAGTGACTTTGAGGTGCCCAGACAGGTTATGGAGTCTCCTTCTCTGGAGATATTCAAAAGCCATCTGGATACAATCCTGTGCTCCCTGCTCTGGGTGACCCTGCTCTACCAGTGAAGTTGGACCAGATGATGTCTACATGTTCCTTCCCACCCCAGCCATTCCATGGTTAGGCTGTAGAGCAACAGTACACAGTGAGGAGAAAGGGGTAAAAAGAAAGGCCAGGAAGAGCAGCAGTTTCCAGTCTTTATAGTGTTACTGGTCCAGATAGTCTTTGGAAATCCAGAGGACAAAAGTGGGGCTGCAGCTTAGGCAGAGCTGCCTCAGGCACTGGGCCAGAAGGAGCTCTCAGTTTACAGCTTGAAAACGATTGTATTCTTAGTCTACTCCCTTTACCATTGTGGAGCATTTGCCTTGGGGAAATTGGAAAACCTGTTGCTTGAACCATTTCAAACAGAGTGAAAAACTAGGCAAAGGGGTATAAACCTCAAGCTTTTTCTGGCCTTTAGACTTTCCTAGGAATTGTATGAGTTTATGTATTTCACGTAACATGCATTCCTTAGTGAGAAAACGTAAAGCAAATCAGTCATTTGTCTTCTTTATGTTGAAGCCAAGTATTGAGTAAAACTTCCACATGGTGTCTTTTTCCCCCCAGTAAACACAGACTTGTTGTGTGGAGTGATAAAATGGCATTTACCACTTAAAAAAACGAACATGACCCAAACACTGAGGTTGCACAGGATGTGATTTCACATCACATACAAGCCTTACCTGGAGAGCTGTGGTGTAGACTTTTTTTTAGTTATTAAATGAACCTATAGGAATGATGAGGAAATCTGTGGACTGTTGCCAGCTTATCCCTACTTTTGTCTGTTCTCAAGATGTGATTTGCAGAAGAAACTTATTTATACAGAGGTAACTGTTACATGTACATGCGTTGCCAGATTTTTTTGTTATTGTAAGTCACTGCAGATTTATTAATGGAAACTGAAGCTGTAGCTTTTGTGGAGCAATAGTGGACTGATGTGGTCTAATAGGAATGTTAATACTTTATATTGGATAAATGCATATGCATTGCAGTTTCAGGTACAAGATAGTTCATTCTCTTAGGAACTTGATCCTGTTACCTTCTTTCTCACCAGCAGAGGTCTAGCTTACATACTGATTTCAAAACAGGGTAAATCTCTTTTGCTGACAGCATGTCAACAACATGTTTTCATGACTGGTTATGTTTGTGAGTTCCTCTAGATGTGTTTTCCCTGCCATAACTGAACAGTGGGACCGATGTGATTGTATTAAAAACGGGAAGTTCAAAAACACTTGGAGAATCAGTAATCACTGGAGATGAGCCATCAGCAGGTGGCTGTATTGAATCACAAAACCAGAGATTTGTGTTATGTTGAGCCTGTTCCACTGGGATGTGTGAGCAGCTCACTGAAGACAGTATCACTTTTATATACTTACAGTCATGTGTACTAAACCATACCTGTATTCACCTCTGGGCAATCAACAGTCTGGAATTCTCAGAGATAATGAGCAGTCAAGCATCCTGGTTTTTATGTACAACATACCTTAAGAAAACAGGAGTTGCCTCTACAGCAGTGACAGTGAGGAATGAGCTGTGCTGTGTAGGAGGATGTTATTACATTCTGTTAAATAATACATTTAAAATATGTTGGAGAAATGAAAGGCACAAAAGAATAAAAGGTGAGGCTCTAGATTTAAAAATATTAGTTGGTATGCAAGATCATGAAGCTTACTGTAAAAGCTGTTCACTACAAAGTGTTTTGAGGACAAGATGGGAAAGTTTTCTGATGCATTTCACCATTATCTCCTGGGTGCTTTTGTTGAATCTTCCTAGAGAATCACAGGAAGTGGTTAAATAATGCTAAAATAACATTTTAGGTGATTACCCAGCTGACAACCCCTTGCCCTTTAATCAGCTCTTGTGCACTTTAAAAAGCAGTTTAGGAAAGTGGTGGGCTATCAGCAGGAAAGTCTCTTACACTTTTGGTGTGTGGAACCTTGATATGTTGCCCAGGTTTTAGAATCTATAGAAGTCTTTTACGTAGACTGCAGGTTTGCTTATGCTTCATTTAACTTAAATACAACTGTCTAAACATGGAACTGAACTTTTAAGCCAGCTTGTATGATGGTCTTTGGAGAAACAATTTCATTCCAGAGCAATCTGACACCATGAAACAAAGTACTATTAAATGTAAAACAAACCAGTTCTTGTAGCATCAATGACTGCAAGCTGTGATTTTTGTCTGGTTCCACTGCCCTCACCCCACCGGGTATTTGTGCAAAGAGAAAGGTGGATGTGCAGAGATTCACCTGTGGAGCTCAGCACTGGCTGTTACCATTACTATCACTCTGTCTAGGCTGGACTCACACTGTCACCTCGACATCTTTATCCACTGCAAGGAAATATATTCATTGTGTTCCTACAGGCAGATGTTGATGTTTCCCTAAGGATAGTGAATGGATTTGGAAAACAATAACAAGGGTTTCTAAGATTTTTACAATAGCTTATGTCATTATAACAGCATGATACTAGTTTTGAATTTCAGAGTATTTTTATTACTGTTTCAGTTGTACAATTTCAGCATTAGGAAACAATACATAATATACAGTACATGGCTTGCGTTGTTCCCAGGTTTTAAAGTTATGTGTCAAGGTTCAAGCTGCAGAATAGAGTTCACCATTCCTAAAATGAAAGCAGGCACATACATACAGCTCTATCAGCGCAATCCTGCGTGGCAAATACAACATTAGGAGCACCACCTGCCATGAGGACACTGCCTGTACCAAAGGATTGCTGACACAGATCCTCAACGTTCTGCCCCACTGCCCCTGTAGCACTTGTTCATGTCAAAGTGACATCACTAGAAAAACACATTAAGCAGTTCACTCCTTGGTTGCAAAAGTTAGTGAAAGGCCACGGCTAGTGAAACACCTCACAAAATGAAGCTACAAATCTGATACATATTTTGCATAGTTAAATTTATGTCTGGATAAACTTAGATCACTGGATTTTTGTTTTCTTCTGGCCTTTGTACTTTTGCTTCAAGCTGAACAGTTATTCAAAACACTCATTCAGTGTTCCCCAGTCACTCCAGACACCTTTCCATTTCTTTGGTTGCTCTCTTTTCCTTACACCTCTTAACCTTTTGTATTCCTCCTACAGCAATACACTGAACCAGACACCCACTCCCTCCCCTTTGGCTACTCCTGTTTATTTTTCTTCAGCTTTTCCCTCCTCTTCCTCTTCAGTCACTTCCACTCTCTTCTGTTACTCTTCTCAACGTCTCTGGGCTCTTTCTCATCTTCAGCCATTCTGACTGTCTCTTGATAGACAATGCTGCAGTCTTCTTGTTCCATCCAGTTGCTATTGCTATTTGCAATACCACTTCTAAATCCTTTAAAAAGCATTCACCTCTAAGGGCCTCATTCTTTCCATATTTACACATGGATATAACCCCAGAAATTCCAACCGTTTTACATAGTACGCAGAAGACAAAAATTCAACCCACTGCCTTGAATTGTAGCTGGAAAGAAGAGAGAGCTAATAGAGGAAGACAATGAAAAAATAAAATCCCATTGTAATAGTGCACATTGCCTCTCTTGAATTTGGAGTTGTTTGTTCTTTCCCTCTCGGTATGGAGTTAAACATCTCCACAGTGTGTCAACTAACTGTCACAATTTTTTGTTACAATAATCTTAAACAAGTTCAATGACATTTGCTTCTTTGATATGGGCTGTTGTTCTAAATTTCCACTGTTCTCTGCTAAATTCTTCTTAACT